TGTTTGTTTGTTTGCCCTCATCTCTCCCGACTCCGCGTCCAGGTTGGTTCCAAGACAGACTGTGTGATGTGCTTTGGTCCGATGGTGCCAGATGGCTACGGAGTGTGTTACAATCCCATGGATGAGCACATCAACATCGCAATCACGGCCTTCAACAGCTACGAGGAGACGAACGCTGCCAAGTTTGCCCAGGCTGTAAAGGATGCTCTGTTGGACATGAGAGCTCTCCTGGAAGACACAGCTACAGTCAAGCAGTGATCCCACACAGGAGCCTGGCATGGTGTTTGTGTCTCACCGGGATAGATGGGAGAGCTGGAACTGAACCGGTGCTGGCAGAATGCCACACTGACATAGACAAACAATGTACTGCGTGTGCTGGAGATCAGGGGAAACCTGTTATTGAAGGGTTGTGGGAAGAATGTGTGACACACTGCCTTTGTGATGAGAAAAAGTCATCCATGATGGAAATTCTATATTTTAATATATTGTGTTATATATATATATAAACTTTAAATTGACATAATTTGAATGAACACAATCCATTTATTTCTAATATTATACATATTTCTTTTCTTTATTTATACTTACATACTACAAGTTAGTCTTCAGAATGATACTGTCCTTGCTTGACTTCGATTGATTTTCAATGCTTTGGCTTGTTTATTATTTATTTCAGGTCAAAGTAATTAGCACATAGGCATGAAGACAAAAAGAAAGAATGTGGCTAAAGTCTGCTTTGGTCTTTCTACTCAACAGAGTAGAAGTTAATGACTGTTAGAAGCATCCATAAAAGTGGTTGCCGAACAGCTTCAGAGGAGGCTCAGTGAATAGAAGTAAAAACATGTTACAAAAAAGGAGATCACATAGAGTAGCCTAAATATGTACGATTTGGTTAAAGAGATAGTTCAGAGATAGTTTTCAGTAGAATCTTACTGATCTTCCGACTTTCTCTGATTCAGAAATGAATAAATGCCTTTGGACAGACTCTTTTTATGTGTTTGGTGTAATCTAAAGTTATGTCAAACAGCAATATAAGACTATCTTGGCTCAACTGTTGAGTGTCTATAGGATCACATAACATAAGCATGATCCCAAAGGCATCCAGGAATTGAGCAAAACTAAGCAAGTAAATAAAGAGGGTGAGGGGCGCCTGTTCCTAAACTTTGTCTAAGGCGAGGCCCACAGTCTCAGAGTTTGAAAACCCTTGCTGTAAACTGAAGAAATGTTAAAACATACATTTCAAACCTCCTCAATAATAGTTAATATCTAGTATCAAGGACGCAAAAAGGAATATTCAGCTCTGAAGCTCCCTTTGGAATGCAGGTAGTCTCCATGAAATTCAACCTCTGCCATATTTCCAGAGGAGTGCCACAGGAACAGCTGCTGGCCTTTAAACACGTTGGTCTTTAAGACGTCCATGTCCCGGATCTGAGCAAGAAACACAAAATACAGCAGCAGTTATTACACTTTTTTCCTAAGAAGCATGAAACATACTAAAACAACAGCATGTCCGCACCATAATGTATGTAGACTGGGAGTTGGTGGAGTTGAATACTAATCCTATGTGCAGGGCCTGGATTCTGATCTTCACAGAGGGAGGGGCATTGATGAGGACTCGACAGGTGTGGTTAGTGTTGGACGTTGTTGGATTCTCAAAGACACCGCTTGGGGAAAACAGCTGAATGTCACAATCTGTGAGGCAGAGACACGGTGCGTTTAATCTTTGGTAAATGCATGAGATAAAATATCATGAACACTGGTACAGCCAAATGCAATCTAGTGCAACAGCCAGGCAATGAGCATTACATTTGTGAAGCTCAAAATGGTTCATATTTATTGAGACTGTGTTAGGAGCTGATGCTAGTCATTGTTTAGCAGGTTAAAATGCTAAATTGCAACCTCCACACTCATTGGGGAAACAAAGGAGACTAAATAAAAGCACAGTATAACAATAGACATATACTAACAAGGAAATATCATATTAGGGTTCACAATATTTTCAGTTTCACTCTATATCACTCTTTTGTATTGGATTGCATTAGCCTGGGAGTGTTTAGAATATTGCGTGCATCTCTCCAGATTCAGCTTTCAACCTTTATGCTGCAATAGGCTCAAATCATTGGGCTCAAAAAGCAAGTGATGCCTTCCCTTTCACTAAACTTACCCTGACGGTGGCTCTTCTTCGTATTCTTCCGTGAACTGTAGGCGAACACAACCCCGTTCCCAGCAGTGAGCAGGTTTTGGCGCACAAGCAGGACGTTGGTTCTGGTGGTCAGTTCGCTTCCTGCTACCTGCTCGCACTTCCTCACAAAGGCCAGTCGGTCAAAAAATGCAACATACTCCTCTGTGGAGACACATGCAGAGAGTAGTAGACAGTTATTTAACTGCAACAGTTGTGACATAGTAAATATCATCCTTTATATCTGATAAAATATACTTTTTCTGCAGTTCAAGGAGCCAGATTCCACTTTAACATAAATGACCTCATCCAGGGGTCGACCTATGGATACTGTGCAGCGGCCGGTTACATTTTTCAGATCCACAATGCCTGATTCTTCTAGGAGTAGCCGTCCACATGCACCTGGCAAAGAGCAGACACTGTAATGCTAATTTTGTAACTGCCTTCTGAAAATAGGTAAGGATTTGGAGTGTATGTGTACTAACTGGGTTTAGGTGTCGGAATGATTGTCGTAGTGGTCTGTGGGATGGTGACTGCCTCTGTCGGACTCGGAGGAGGAAGGTGGCCCATGCGGAGCAGAGGTGTATCTCTGTAGCTCTGGGTGGCAGACAGGAGAGGTCCCTCCTCTTTGCAGCTGCCCATGTTGCAGCCCTGAATGGTGATTGGCTTGGGCATGTGCATACAGAGCAGAGGGCTGAGGGGCTCCGGCTTGGTGGGGCCCATGCAGGACACAGCTCTGGACTGGATCCCGTATCCACAGGGTACTGAGCACTGGAGAACAAGCCAACACAGCGGAGATATTCTGCGGTCATTACATTCATATTGTAAATGGAGGTTCTTTAGTTGCCTTGACTTTGTGGACATGCACATCTAGGGTTGGTGGAATTTGTGTCAGTGCAGCATGGTGCGCAGCACACAGTGTTTCATAAATATACATCAGAATAAGCAACCGCATAAACAGAAGATATGTTCTGTCACAATACATAATTATAGGGTTGTATGTCTGAGCATAAGGAGAGGAGTTGTTCTTAAAGGAGCATATATGTATATATATATATATATATATACAGTTTTTGTATATTATATTATTAGCTACAATGTGAAAATAATTTGGCAGGCTCTTGAAACTTGCTTGAGTTGTGTGATCCATTACAGTGAACATGAAGTCTGCATTACATTTTGTCGGTGTTCCATTATTGTTGGACATGGTAATGCAGTTTAAGTGCAGACTTGTTCACTGTGATGGATTACACACCTGGTGCAAGTTTCAAGACTCTGCTAATAAATGGAAACCACTTGACGCCTGGAATAGTGGAAAAAGTTAATTTCAAATTTCTATTTTTCTATTTCAAAAACACAGTAAAAACAAAAAGGTTTGCTAAATGACCTGTGATGCAAAGTACAGTAGTTGTAATTTAAAGAAAATGTTCAAAAACATGCAAAACCACTAGCATGGTTCTTTAAAGCCCCCTCTACTCAAACATCTCTTTTTCTTCTTGTTCCTACAGTGTGATGTTAGAACTGTGCAGAATGATGTCTGTGCAGAGTTTGACACTAGAAGGATGTTTTCACTGCTGAAAACTAGAGTTCTTCTGTGCTCATTGGAAAATTCAGATTTAAGGGGCGGGGCTATGAGCATGATGTGACATCACAACACCATTCATCTGCTGAAAACTAGAGTTCTTCTGTGCTCATTGGAAAATTCAGATTTAAGGGGCGGGGCTATGAGCATGATGTGACATCACAAATAGTTTGGAAAGTTCATCCCTGTCCAATGGCAATATAACAAGTGAAGATGGATCTTTTCCTGGCCACATGAGAAATGGACTGGAAGTAGGTGGTTCATCTTGCCGGCATGGGAAAATTAGAAATGAACTAAATTGCTTTGCTTATGAGGGTAGAAGAGTACAGAGGGCTTTTAAAGGAAATTAATGTTGGTTTATCTGAGGCTGCAAACTCAGTGTTTTGTTCATTGTGGATTAATCTGATGGATAATTTTTCTTATGGAATCGGCTTATTAATGCTAATATAAGTGAACGCTGTATCCACAAATAATCCCCAGATTAAGGTGAAACAATCTTCCAACATCTTGTTTCGCCCCCCCCCCCCCCGCCAACAGTTCAAAATACAAAGATTTTTTAAGTTATAAGCATAAATCTTTTACATTTTTAGAAGGCTGGGAAAGCAGATAAGTAAATTTCTGCTTTTTCAAAAAATGATTACTGCTCCGGGTGTTTTCTCTGCTCCTGGTCGGGCTGGCGATCGCGTTTCACTTGGTGCTTGGATTCTGTGTTTTCCCTTTCTTCGGCCTTTCTCGTGAATGTTACCCCTGCTCCATGGTTCTACCCTCCCATCTCAATGTGCAGATCTGCACCAGCGCAGGGCACTTTGGTGGCTTGTTCTGACAAGCTCACGGCAGTTTTCCTCCAGCACCACACTCCTTGCCGGTGGACGAAGACTGGGAACAGCAAAGACACAGTCCCTTGAAGTACACCAAATCACAGGACACCGATTTTCAGGGCGATGTCCTGAATACCTTCCAACTGGACAAATGACAAGTGGTTTTTAAAATCATTTTGCCTTTGTAGATATTGATTTATACTGTGTGTGTGTGGTGTGTGTGATTTACCTTTGCCGGGCAGCTGTGGGTGTTACATTGAAACCACTGCTGTGGGGTTTGGAAATCCGCTGCACTCTGAAGTCCTTCCACCACCTCCTCCTCCCCCTCTGTTTCTCTAGCACAGTACAGCACCCTGTTGGCCACCCTCCCTCCACACGTTTACACTGAGGACTCCTTGCTTGGAGTTGCCCACCTGGTTGGTTATAAAAAATATTGTTGCTGTTTGTCATTTCCAAACCCTTATTTTAACACACATCTCTCATGCTGTGTACACAGCAGACTCAAAGACAGATATGAGGTTTAGTGCATCATACTATACATAAATACTGTATGTTAAATGCATGTCAGGTATAGTGTCTCACATGGGAGTGCAGGGAGATGTGTTGCATGTCTCAGACTGCAGAGGAGGTTTAGTAGAAGCATCACAGTGAAAGTCAGGCACACCCAGTCTGGTCTGGTGGTCCACACAGGAAAACCACACCTGCAGGGTTCCTATATAAGCATCAGGCTTTGGTTGACGTTATCCGATGAGGACAAGCTGTTTCTGAATGAAAGAGGGGGCATTCTTTCACTTACCGTTGCCACAGGTCTTAGAGCACTGGCTGATAACAGGACTCCACACATACACAGGAACCTGTCTAGAGCGTGGTAACAAACCAGGCTTCGGCACCGTCTGTTCCTGCTCAAGAAGGGTGATGTTTAGACATGCTTTGCATTTTGAAATAAGAGTGGGATTTTTGTCATTTTCTGCTTTACCTCTCCCTTAGATTCCCACCCAATAGGACAAACATCTACCACACAGGGCACAGAATCAGGCGGTTTAATCTGCTTTGAGCAAACGCTTTGATCCACTTCAACATCCTGGCCATCCTGGGGCCGCACACATGACACGACGCGCTTGGCTTCTCCTGGCCCGCACACTGCTGAACATTCCCCTGGCTCTGACACACGCCACCTGAAAACACACAGAAAACTCTGAAATCCTCCATATTCTGTGGTAATTGGATGTTATTTGACTCATGCACTCTTGGCAC